GGATCACTTGGGTTGTTACTGACATCTGATGAAAATTTCATGTCATTAGCACCTCTAGTAATATATTTACTGAGAAAAATGGTGACGTGTTCAATACTTATTTTACCCGCTGTATATGGAAGTGGGGTTCTGTGGTAAAGTTATTATCTTACTTGTTTCAGTTTTTTTTAATGACCTCAGTTTGAATAAACAGTTTAAAAGGATCTCAGACTACTTGCATATGTTGGCCTTAATGTGTTATTTCTCTATTCTAACCGGGCCAATCAGCAAACAGAAGTAGGAGTTGTGAATGATGACATCAATTTTATGCGCCATTTTAGTTTGCCTGTAGTTTAGCAATGACAGCAGAGGAAGTGAATGAAGTCATTCAGTTTGTGTTGACAAGTTTTCTTAATTAAATTTGTCTCACAAAGCTGCAGTTCTCATTTACAGCCACTTGGTTCAGCTCGGTCCTTCTCTCTTCCCAGTAGATGACTGTTTACAGCTCAAGCAGTTTCCTGTTGGCTTCTTAGCTTTAGCTGCCTTCACAATCGAGCTGCCGCACTGCATACATCAAGGCCGAACATTAGCGTTTGGTAAAATCAGATCCAATTGTTTTAAACTTCAACAGAGGCCACCCCTCCAGCAAGCAATCATTTCTCATTAGTCGAGAATCCAGATCCTCTGTACAAAGCAAAGTGAAGAACAAGGGGCTGGTTTTACCAGTTTTTAACAATCAATTGTGAGTTTTAGTAACAGCTCTGGAGGTAACGCCTATATATATTAGCATGGGAGCTAATGCAAAGCTAAAAAGCTAAAGTAGCTCCGTTGTCCTCCAACATTTTCACTTTCTGGCTGAGTCATTTCTACAACAGACTCATTTCATTTCAAAGGGCTGAACGTCAGACATTGTTTAAAATTAACATTGAAGATGGATAGAGCTCACACCAGAGCACCTTGTAACTGTCATCATTTACCCAGAATGCTTTGCAGCGTAAATAACATGGCAATGTTCATGTGACAATAGTATTTTGTTTTACATATATAAAAACACCCTACAGTATTTTTAGTCCTTTTTTTTTTTTTTTACAGTTGAAGTAAATGTTTATTAAGTAACGTCTAATGTTACAACTAGTCAGAGAGCCTCTTAAGTCTTACAGGTATGACAAGCTAACAGCAGCTGAATTGCTCCTGTCTTAAAATAACTTGTCCAAAATTTCATAGTAATTCATTTAAATGCTATTTTATAAAGCTTTACATTATATACATGTGGACAAAATTGTTGGTGCCCCTCATTTGATAAAAGAAAAACCCACAATGGTGACAGAAATAACTTGAATCTGATAAAAGTAATAAATAAAAATTCCATGAAAATGAACAAATGAAAGTCAGATATTGCTTTTCAGCCATGCTTCAACAGAATAAAAAAATAAAAATAAAACTCATTAAACAGGCCTGGACAGAAATGATGGTACCCTTAACTTAATATTTTTGTTGCACAACTTTTTGAGTCAGTCACTGCCATCAAATGGTTCTGCAGCTCTCAGCAGGTATGTTGTTCCACTCCTCATGAACAAACCACTCCAGTTGTCTCAGGTTGAAGGGGGTCTTTTCCAGACTTCATGTTTCAGCTCCTTCCAAAGATGCTCAACAGGATTTAGGTCAGGATCATAGAAGACCACTTCAGAATAGTCCAATGTTTCCTCTGAGCGCTCTGAACATGGGTGTTTTTAGCTGTTTTGGGTCATTATCCTGTTGAAGACCCATGACCTGCAACTGAGACCAAGCTTTCTGACACTGGGCAGCACATTTCTCTCTAGAATCCTTGATAGTCTTGAGATTTCATTGTACCATGCACAGATTCAAGACCCCCTGTGTCCGATGCAGCAAAGCAACAACAGACCATAACAGACCTCCTCCATGTTTCACAGTAGCATGGGTTAAAGCAAAAATATATATACAGGTGCTGGTCATAAAATTAGAATATCATGAAAAAGTAGATTTATTTCAGTAATTCCATTTAAAAAGTGAAACTTGTATATTATATTCAAACATTACATACAAACTCATATATTT